ATCTTCTGAATCACCAAGAACCTAACAGACAAACAATAAAAGAAATAAAATGGGCCAAAATGAAAATGGGCCAAAAACACAATTTTTAAAGAAAGAATCTATACTTGCCAATAAAAAGAAATTAAAAATGTCAACTTCACTGGTGATTATGAAAATATAAATGATCAATCTACCCTTATATATTCATCTGATTAGCCAACACTTAGAATATCTAATAATCCAAAATGTTGGCAAGAATATTAACAGAGGGAGTATTGATATTTTAGCTGTTATAGTTGCATGTGCATTGATCATTTAAGTACAAATTTCAGAATCATATGTGGAATGAAATACTTGCAGGCATTCAATGTAAAAATCCATTCTTTCCTCCAACTCCCATATGCATTCAATCACCAAATCTTGCCAAATAACCTTCTAAATGTAGGTCATGTCTGTTTCCTTCTCACCATTCCAATTGTTACAATCTTAATTTCATCCCTTTGTCTCTTTCCTATACTACTTTAATAGCCTCCTAATTGGTCTCCCTATCCTCACTATTCCCAACACTATCACCAAACTTATCCTTCACAAAGTAACATTAGCACTCTTTCTAAACTGTGGATATGACTAGGTTATTCTCCTATTTAAGGTACTTCAATTGACATAGAATAGAATGTAGACTCTCTAATGTTGTAGCAATGAAATTCCCACAGTGCAGGTTAGTGTAGATGATGAGTTTGGTTTTAAATACATTATGTTTGGGGTGTTGGTGAAACATAGTATGGCTATGTCCAGCCTGAAGTTGGCTATACCAGTCTGAAGGTCAAGGAAGAGACCAAAGCTTGACACAAAGCAGTCATTATCCCGGAGAACAAAGACATTAAATATATTATTATGTGTCAGGTTAGTGCTGGTTTTAGTAGTTATTCATTATGTATTGGAGTGTCATTTCCATCTTTTCCAGCACTCAGTTACATTTAACAGTTCCCCAGGATAATAGGTGGGGAACCTATTCTATGTAGGTCCCTAATGGAATATAATATAAACATGTAAGTATATATTTGTTAAAAGAATGCTTCTGTATAATGCTTATGTCTGCCCAATATGCATTGAGCACCTGGTATGGATGCTGGCTTTTGCTTTAGTATCTCCAAATATGGAAATGAACAAGATATTGCCTGATTTCAAGAGTTTCATAATATAACAAAATATATAAGGATATACAGCAATTAAAAAGTGAGATAAGTTCAAAATAAAAACATATACAAGGCATAAAGTTATCAGAGAGGAATGAACAATTAATTCTCTTTGTGTATAAGGGTCAGGAATGTATCTCAGAATAAATCACATCTGAAATGTCTCTCATAGGTGACAAGGACCCCAGTTAAGGAGTTACAGTCATGGGGAGGAAGGAATATTTTGGGCAGACAAAATAATATTGTTCCATGTGTCATGAGTAACCAGTCTGGCACATTTGGGAATAACATTCTGGCATTACCTGAGGATGAAATGCAAGGGGATATGGGTCATTTGGAGTTGTGGTTACAGAGGTAGATGAAAGCTATTCACACAAATTGTGTAGATATGTTTTCTATACACAATAATTCACTTATCTAATGTTTAATATAAAAGAGTAATTTTAAATTATGGAAGGAAAACAGTGAACAGTGATTTCAAGTGGCAGAAATGGATATGGAAAGTAAAGATTGGGGGTCACATGGACAATCAAGATCAGATTTAACTTTAGCCTCCAAGTGAATTAGTTTTGTCATAAAAGGTCATGAATCAAATTCAAGCACATTTCAAGCAAATTTTTACCTAGATTGACTAGTACTTAAGTGAGTCCCTGCCTTAAATTAAACATTCTACTGTCTGTAACCAAATGCCAATGCAGACTATATTCTCTCACGCCTTGACTCTTCCACCAGGACTATTCCAACCTTGCCAATGGTGATGCTGACACTGCCTTTATTTTTTCCTGTCTAGTCTTTCTTCCCTTGACAGATTCCCAAAGGATGAATTATGCTTCTTAAGTAACTGTCTAGATCTCTGCCACAGAATTCAAGGATAGCTTTCTTAGATACAATTTTGTGCAAGTATTGATGTGTCAAAATCTTTTACTATTTGTGTAACTTCTAGCAATGGCTGATATATCATTGTGTTCCTTAAACCTTTTGTACTAACTTTGCAGACTGTTTTGCCATATCTAGCATGTATTTTTGCATAAATATTTCCAGAATATAGAGATCGTAAGCACAGCAAAAAGTCCCTAATAATATTCACAAGGACTTCTAAGGACGCTCACAGAGTTCTTTCTGACTTGAAGACATAAAATTCACAATTCACTTCCTGGCAACAAAAATGTCCTGATGCAGAGGGCCACTAGGAGTTTTCTTGGGAGTTTCATGTTTATATTTAGAGATGATTGTTTTCTAATACTCTTTAAAAAATAAATATAGATATTTATTTTACTCAGAATACTCAGCTAAAGTGGCCTGAAGACCAAGGGATACATTATATTTGGCCATATGATGTTTCTCAGAAATTGTAATTTCAAGATAGAATTTGATGTATTAATGTATATAGATATATATGTACAGAAATATCAATCCACACAAATATGTGGCCTATAAATCTATTCTTAAAGACTAAAGGTATATTTAATGTCATCTTTCAATGGGTCTAAATTTAGTTGCCATTTTCTATAAGTCAGCATATGGATGGCCCTTTTAGAACCGTCTTCCTGAAAACCCTCTAAGTGGTAAGTCAGGTTGGTGTAGAAAGGTGTGTACACCCTGTTTGCATACTGTTTTCTTTAAATGAAATGTTCTCCTTTATTCAGGTGCTGCTATGCCTCATGGAATTCCTCAAGCCATAGCCCTTATTGAATAATTTCCTAACACTAAAATAGTCTTAATTAACTCTCTAAGAATTTATCATTGAAACTTGTGCCATATAATTAAGTGCCTTATTGTATAGTCTTCAGAATATTTATTTGTAGGTGTTAGTCCTATCTCCCTGGTGACACTGTAAATTTCTCCATGACTCATAGACTTGAATTGAGGAAATCACTATCAATTCACACTGGTACTATCAGCAAGTGTTCCATGTTCCAAAAGGAACATTCATTCAAATTCATTCAATAATATTTATTGAGCTTCTATAGTATGCCGCACACTGTCTTAGGCAATAAAGATGTGCCAGTGACTAGAACAACAAAATTGGAACATTGCCAAATTTTATTCTAGCAATGAACTCTAGAAAATACATAAACAATTTAAGTATGTAGTATGCCAGTTTCTCATAAATACTATAAAGAAAATAAAACAGGGAAGGTAAATACAGTGTGTATCTAGTGGATAATAACAACAGGATCTTAATTTTAAACAGGATGTTCCAGAGTTTTGTAGGTATGCTATGTTTACATGTGATCAAGAAATTTTTCTGTGATCAAGGTCTTTATGTACCTAGAATGTCAAACCAGTCTTATCTAGCTTCTTCTTCTTGGTTTTTACTATGCTTGTTAGTTTTTCCTTTATTTTTTTCTTTTCCTTTTTAAAAAAAACACTTTCTTGAAGTATAATTGATATGCAAAGAACCACACATATTTAATACATACAACTTGATGACTTTGGACATATGCAAATACCAACGATACCAATATCACAAACAAGGTAATAGATTTATCCAAAACCTCTCAGAGTTTCCTTGTGTCCTCGTATTTTTTGTGTGATAAGAACATTTAATATGAGATTTACCCTCTTAAAATTTTTTGAATTGCACAATATTATATTGTTAACTATAGCTACCATGTTGTAAAAATGGATCTCTATAACTTACTCATCCAGCATAAATGAAACTTTACAGCTACTAAATAGCAGCTTCTATGTGTCCTGTCTGGACTTAGGTATCATTTCTTAGGGTAACTTTCCCTAACCCCACCAACTGGATTTATTCTACTAGCATACCTGCCCCTTCACATCCAATGTATTTTCACATGAATTGTTTATTTAAATCATTCATAATTCTAATGTATGATTCTCTAATGTCTGATGCATCCACTAAAATGTAAGGAACTTGTTTTGTTTATGCCTGTTCCTTTGGCACCAAATATATACTGCCTGAAAAAAAAACCCCAAAAACAAAGCAACACGGATATGCACACACACACATACACAAACACAAGTTTAACCAACTTTTTTTATGATTGAGGGTTCATGTTTCATATACTCATAGTGCCTAGGTATAACCATTTTTGACTAATCTTTATTTTATTCTAGTACAATAAGGAGCCAAGTTTGTATGGAAGGAAATGAAGATTTATGAATAAATAAGAACACTGGAAATCCCATAATCATTTAAAGGAAAATGTCACCAACATGAATATCAACATTAGCATCAGCATTAACAACATCACCACACATATGAGTTTGGCCAGAAATATAACAAATACTACTAAGCACTTACTATTTCTCAGCCATTGCTCAAGATGTCTGAGATAGATATATCAGAGACCAAAAGAGAAAATTCTCTCCTGTCTAACAACAGAATTTACAATCTAAGGCAGGAAAAGATAGGCAATAACCATAATAAATAAGTGAATTCTATAATACTGAGAAGATGTTCAGTGTTATGTGGGGAAAATGGAGCAAAATAAGGGAAATTGGGAGTTCAATTCCAAGTAGGGTGAATAGGTATGCCTCATTGGACATGTAGAAAAAAATTTTACTCTCATTATGAGGAAAATAAATGGTGTAAATATAGTAAAATGTTTTGCAAAAGATTAAATCACATATCTGAATACAGGGTAAATAAAGCCTGAGTGAGTCAGAGATATTGATAAGTGTAGGGGAGAGAGGTTTTCTGTCTTTGATTTATAGTTTAAGATTTAATGTTTCAATAAAATTAACTTTGAGTTACAACAAAATAAAATAAAAAGTGTTATATCATTTGCTAAGAGAAAACAAAGCATGTCTTCAGTTAAAAATTCAAATTATTTAGAGATAAGATGAGAATCTTACCATTTTTACTGATGTCGAGTTCTTTAAGATTAACTAAACTAGCAATAGTGGTTGGCAGATTTGAAAGATCATTATCAGGAATACTTAGTTTTCTTAGAGCTTGACAGTTGAACAATTGCTGTAAAAAAATAATGATTAATTAGATTTCAATTTGGTTAAATGCATTCATACATAAACTCAGAAACAAAATTCAAATCACCACCTTTATAAATGGGGTAATTAAAGGGGCAGCTGCAAAAGTCTTACCTTCTTCCACACTCATGTTCTGAATTCTTTTCAGAATGCTTCATTTTCCATCTGCATGTTAGTGCCTCACTATTCTCTGCTATCCAAATTCAAAACACAAGGGTTTCTATTTCTTACACCTCTGTGTACCATTAATGTTCAATTTGCCACTGATCCTACTGATTTTTTTCTTTCCAATATTTTCTGGAGTTGTTCCTTCCTTTCTATTCCCACAGCTACCAGGGTAACTTCAATTCTCTTTCTCTGCAACAACATATTACTTCCATTTAATCATGTTTGACAGTTATTTATTTAGCATGTAAGTACTGCAAAACAATTGGATACATGGGTTCACATTTCTTTTGTGTCTCTCCACAGTGTTTCATAAACTTCTAGAAAATGAAACATGTAACCTTTTTTATTTAAAAAATTCTTTTAATGTTTATTCATTTTTTGAGAGATGGGGGCGGGGGAGGGAAAGAGAGAGGGAGACACAGAACCCCAAGCAGGCTCCAGGCTCTGAGCTGTCAGCACAGAGCCCAACATGGGGATTGAACGCATTAACTCTGAGATCACGACCTGAACTGAAGTCGGCCACTTAACTGACTGAGCCTCCCAGGTGCCCCAAAACATTTAACTTCTGATATTTAGTTTAAAGAAATCACTAGTGATTGGTTCATTTCTGCCATCAGTCCGAAGTACCTCATGGGGAAGAGCTAACTGCTAAAGCAGTGGTTCTCACATCCAGCATAGTTTTAATCACTGGTAAGTGGAGGTGCTTATTTAAAATGTGGATTCTTGGGCTTTACCCAAAGGAGTACTGACATGATGGGTCAGGGATGGGGCTCAAAATCTGCATTTTTAAACAAGCACTCTAGTGATCCGATTATTTTGATGTGGGTATTTCCAGTGCCATATTTTAGGAAACAATGTTAGAATTTTTAGTAGTAGATTTTTTCGTCAATCTTATTTTGACTACTCAAGATACAAACAGTTGGGGCAGAATTTTTTTATTCATTTCTGGAAGAATTATCTTAATGAGATCTTTTCTCTTTGGCATTTCTAATTCTATTTTGTTGAATTTCTACAGATAAAGTGTCTAGTATCCATGACTATGCAATTGGCCCACAGCACATTTAACTATAGCTTATTCTTTCATGAAATTAATTATTTATAGGCAAAAACAATAATATCTGGTTGTTATTTCTTAACACATTAGCTTTTAAAAAATAGATTGTACTGGTTGTTACTTAAGATAAAATATACAGTTTCTTGCTTTTGGTTGGTCATTTTTGGCTCCTTACAAATATTATTTCCAATACTTCATGTAGTGCTAGAATTTCAAAATGCTATACAGAAGTGCCACTACCTCTTTTTATAAAACCTAAAAAAAAGTACTTTGCTGGATCATTTTCACTTATTACTAATTTTCCTTTTAAAAATAGATAAACAGATGTCTATGCTCATGGTAGATGTTAATTTAAATTCTTCCCAGTCTCTATCATTCTGTTAGGACCATTAAACCCACATGCAATGTGATTAGTTACAGATATATAGATTTTAGAAATTTAAATGCATCATGATTGATGCTGGTAAGATGTACTAACAACTCTTTAATCAGATTACTGTAACCATTTTATACAAAATTTAAACAAAAGATTTTCAAACACCTTTTTTTTTAAAAAAAAAATCAAGTTACATCATCACGACTAAATTCTCAGTTTTTCTCAAGAATTAATTAGAGGTCATGTTTTGTTGAAGATTAATGGACCATGTAGTTGTGGGTTAATTTCTGAGTTTTCTATTCTGCTTTACTGATCTATGTCTGTTTTTGTACCAGTACCATACTGTCTTGATCACTACAGCTTTGTAATACAGCTTGAAGTCTGGAATTGTAATGCCTCCAGCTTTGTTTTTCTTTTTCCAGATTTGTTTGGCTACTCAGGGTCTTTTGTGGTTCCACACAAATTTTAGAATTGTTTTTCTCTACCTCTGTGAAAAATGCTGGTGGTATTTTGATAGGAATTGCTTTAAATGTGTAGATTGCTTTGGATAATATCGACATTTCAATGATATTTGTTTTTCCAATCCATGAGGATAGAATATTTTTCCATTTCTTTGTGTCATCTTCAATTTCTTTTTTCAGTGTTTTATAGTTTTCAGAGTAGAGATCATTTACCTCTTTGGTTAGGTTTATTCTTAAGGGTCTTATGGCTTTTGGTGCAGTTGTTAATGGGATCGATTTCTTGATTTCTCTTTATGTTGCTTCATTATTGGTGTATAGAAATGCAACAGGTTTCTGTATATTGGATTTGTACCCTGAGACTTTACTGAATTCACATATCAGTTCTAGCAATTTTTGAGGGGAGTCTTTTGGATTTCCTATAGTGGAGAAAAGACAGTCTCTTTAACAAATGATGTTGGGAAAACTGTACGGAAACATGCAAAAGAATGAAACTGGACCACTTTCTTCCATCATACACAAAAATAAATTGAAAATGGATTAAAGACCTAAGTGTGAGACAGAAGACCATTAAAACCCTTGAGGAAAACACAGGCAATAACCTCTTTGAGACTGGCCATAGCAACTTCTTACTAGATATGTTTCCCGAGGTGAGGGAAACCAAAGAAAACAAACTATTGGGACATCATCAAAATGCAAAGCTTTTCTGCACAGCAAATTAAACAATCAACAATACTAAAAGGAAACCTTCTTAATGGAAGAAGATATTTCCAAATGACATATCTGACAAAGGATTAGAATCCAAAATATATAAAGAACTTAGAAAACTCAATACCAAAAACCCAAATAATCCAGTTAAAAAATGGGTAGAAGATATATTTTTCCAAAGAAGACATCTAGATGTGTAACAGACACATGACAAGATGCTAAACATCATTCATCATCAGGGCAATACAAATAAAAACTAACAAAGAGATAACACCTCGCACCTTTTAGAATGGCTAAAATTAACAACATGGGAAACAATAGGTGTTGGTGAGGATATGAAGAGAAGGGAACACTTTTACACTGTTGGTGGGAAAATGCAAACAGTTGGAGCCACTCTGGAAAACAGTATGGAAGTTCCTCAAAAAGCTAAAATTCAGGGGTGACTGTCTGGCTCAGTTGGTTAAGTGTCTGACTGGCTCAGGTCATGATCTTGTGGCTCCTAAATTCAAATCCCATGTTCGACAGTGCTGACAGTTCAGAGCTTGGAGCCTGCTTCAGATTCTACATCTTACTTTCTCTCTGTCCCTTCCCCATTCACTCTCTCTCTCTCAAAAATAAATAAGCATTAATTTTTTTTTTAATTTAAAAATGGAACTACCCTATACCCAGCAATTGCCCTACTAGGTATTTACTCAAAGGATACAAAAATACTAAATTGAAGGTATATATGCACCCCAATGTTTATAGCAATATTATCAACAATAGCCAAATTATGGAAAAACCCAATGTCCATCGACTGATGAATGGATAAAGAAGTGGCATATACAATATTATTCAACCATAAAAAAGAATTAAATCTTGCCATTTGCAACAATACTGATGGAGTGAGAGACTGTTATACTAAGTGAAATAAGTCCGAGAAAGACAAATACCATATGATTTCACCATATGTGGAATTTAAGCAACAAAACAAATGAACATGGGGGAAAAAAGAGAAAGGCAAACCAAGAAACAGACTCTTAACTATAGAGAACAAATGGATGATTACTCAAGGGGAGGTGTGCAGGGGGATGGTTTAAATAGGTGATGGTTATTATGAAGGGTAATTATTGTGATGAGCATTGGGTGTTGTATATAAGTGGTAATCACTAAATTCTAAGCCTGAAACTAATATTACATTGTAAATTAACTAACTGGAATTTAAATAAAAACTTGGGGTAAAAAAATTAATAGGGGTCCCTATATTCTTCTCCAATTTTAAATGAGCTATCCAAAGCATAGGTCTAAAAACTCCTGAACACCTTATTACATGGAGAATTGAAGACTCCTATGGTATAGAGGAAGAAAGCATGACAGTTTGAATCAGCCTGACGTGGGTTTAATTCAAAGGCATCTAGTTACTTGCTGTGTGGTCTTGCATAAGTTACCTAACATCTCTGAACTCTATCAATTTCTTAACTTGTAAAAATGGGAACAATAACATTACCTAACTTGAAGGGTGGTTTAGATAATTAAATGAGTTAATATATTTCATCAATTTTAAGTACTGCATTTTTTCACATATTAACATCTTTGATATTTGGAATGAATCATACAATCATGAGCAAATTATAATTTTTAAGGAGTATATCTTTCTTAGGGGTACAATAATGTCATGCCTGTGTTAATAGCCTTGGATTTAATGAAATGAATAACTTGGGAAAATGTAAAACTATTAGGTGCATGGTAAGAGCTTGATAACTGTTAGCCATTCTGAGTATTTATATATGCAGATACAGAGGTACAACCATATAATAATTGATTTCTTACTTTTCTACATGATAAGGTCTTTAAAGGCAGTAGTCTTGTCTAATTCATCTTGATATAAACTTGTCTCACCTTTGTATATGCCAAAGTGGCTAGCACAGTGTCTTGTACATAGTGTATGCTGAATAAATATCTTTGAAAGTACACTTAGATAACTTAAGAGAAAAATGAGGAGAGTCACAAATTTCAGCTGAGTGGTACTTCACTGAACTGGAAATTTCAGATAGGTAAACAATCTCAGTGGAATCTAAATTTCATGAACAAAGCAGTCAACTTTGAACATGAGTCACAATGACTACAAGCTGGCAAAAAATTAAGAAGACATTTTAATGATTCTTGCAAGATTCAAGCTTTGAATGAAAATGAAATACTGATTATGAAATAGCTGTAATTCTTTCATACAGTATAAATAGGAA